TCTTCAATATTAGGGCAAATTCACATGCATATGAAGCAATAGAGAATCCTACTATTCTCATATCAGCACTATAAACCAAAATTACATAATTTAAATAATCATAACTATATCACTTAAATGATCTTGCAGGTTGCCAGCTCCAGTCAGTAACTTCTCCCTCAATCTAGCTTATACCAACCCAGGTTTTGTAATACATTTTCATTTCTGTTGTTCACTAATAAAGCTGCCTTAACAACAACAACAAAAAGTTTGAAACCAATTCTCTCTCTTTTGGGGCAGATTGAACCCAGAGGCATTCTACAACCAAGCTACTTCCTTAGGCCCTTTTCAAAATTTTTTGAGACAGTTTCACTAAGTTGTCAAGGCTAGCCTTGAACTTACGTTCCTCTTGTCTCAGCCTGCTGAGTAGCTAAAATTACAGGCATGTGCCACCATGCCCAGCTCTGATTTTCCATTAACTGATAAATTCCCTATTCAAATACACTGTATCAAAAGTGGACTTAAATGGAGAAGCAAAAGATTTTCAAATAATAACACTCATCTTAATAGATCAAGGTGGGTTTAATGAAACACATATGGAGGCAGAGCACTTCGATACCAGAGTTCAGAATCCCAGGGCCAGAAAGAGCCTAGGAGCCATCATCACCCCAAGGTCTGTAGGGATGTGAGGGGAGGGATGTGGGTAGATCCTTCAAGGTGAGACTTACACAGGCTCATCCTGAGTGAAACACTAAGCTTGTGGAAGAATCACAGTCAGCTTGAGGTTACCCTTCCAGGAAGGCTCCCAGAGACTTTCTTTTCCTTCTCTACCTCTTCCTGGAGCTCTCCATCGACCATATCCAACAAGAGAAAAGGTGATGAAGATCCATTGACATAATTCCTGAAAGTCAGCCTCCCAAAGCCAAAGGCAAGAGGACAAAGGTGGAAAGACACAAATGGAAAATGTCCAGCAAAGAATCCAGGAAATCAACATCTTTGACCTGGATGTAAACTTGGTTCAGACAGCTCAACAGTTTAGCTACAGGACCTCAGCAAAAATGAGAACACTGAAGTTCACAGGACCTTTTCCAGCTGTGTGTGGGAGAACACAAAACTGACTTCACTTACAAATTATTCACTTTTCAAAGCAAATACGTACATAAAATTTTCTTTTTCGGTCAGTTATAAAGAATATTAACACCAAGAGCAGAATCAAAAACTCATTCGAATTATTTTAGGAAAAAGAGAAAGTTGTGGCTACTTTGGGCTAACAGAGGAGGTATTACTTTAAACACAACAGTAACAATGTATTCATTTTAAAACTTCCCCAATTTTTAAAGTCATTTTACATTTCAATTTTATTTTTCTAGGAGAACAGGAATCACCATGTGTTTTCTACACAAATGGTAAAGTTTCCAACTAAAGAGAATGAAATTGAGCACAGTAATCCAAAATTAAATCACTTATATTTTTCATACTTTTTATAATTCTTCTGTGGAATGGAAGCAGTATCAGTCTTTCTAATTAAGAGTAAAAAGAATATTTGCTGTCTAAGACTGCTGTTTCTAAGTTATAGAAGACGAAAGTTTTAAATGTTTATAATTATCATAGCAATAAAAATAAGCATCACATTTTAACATCAAAAGGCTGCTGTGAAGCTGGGTGTGAAGGCACACATGCCTATAACCTCAGTGACTTGGGAGGTTGAGGCAGAAGAATCACAAGTTTGAGGCCAGCCTCAGCAACTTAGTGAGACCCTGTCTTAAAATAAAAAATAAAAGAGCATTGTGGGTATAGCTCGGTGGTAAAGTGCCTCTGGGGTGGGGGTGGGGGTGGGGGTAGGAGGCTGCTGCAATGGCTGAAATGCAGACTCTGGAGCCAGACTTCCTGGATTCCATCCTTGTCCTGCTTAGGGAATGTGACTCTGCCAAGACACTAGTTAACTACCCTTGTCTCAGTTTCCTCACCTGGAAAGGGGGAAAACAACATAACTCTTCTGTGGCATGTTTTGAATGAAAAATAGGTTACCAAATCTAAGTACTTTCAAAAGTGCCTGGCACACAGTAAGAACTATTTAAGTCTTCTGTGGCATTAAAAAATTCCCAAAGAGATTTTAGCTAGTCATAACAGAAGGTCTAGCTTAATTACTAAGTTCCTAACTTAGTTAATAACTAAGGACCTATGAACGCTGGCCAATGGAAAACCACCAACATGAATGGAATTCCGTATTTAAGTGATCACACTAGTCGCATCAAACTCTTGTGTGTACTTGCTCTGTTTCCACAAGGTCCACTGAAACATGCATGCTCGTGTGGGCTGGTATCTACTATGATCATTAATTTAAACAGCTGGTATTTTCACCTCCCAATTCTTGTCCTTTAGGCCATTCTAAAAAATACCCTTTTCCTCTCTCCTCTTCCATAAAGCATATGGAGAGCTGAGGGGCAGCTGATGAGGGAAAGATGGTTGGCTGATGTGTATAGCTTCTGATACTATAGGGGTTCCATGATGATGAGTCCTGCCTTGCTTGTTTTTCAGTACTTTTTTAGTATGGCACCTCATGCACACCAGCTTAACTCCTTAGGATGCAGACTTAGTATGGAATGGGCATGTTCTCCTGAACTCCCAAATTAATTTTATTCAGGCTGATAAGTGCAACTGAAATCAGTTAAGTTTGGATAATGATGAAAAGATGATAGTTGCATTTTACTTATACTAATTGTTAGAGAAAGCAGTTGCAGGTAGGGACAGGGGAGACCCAGAGTGAGAAGGAAGGGCTTAGGCCTGATTCAGTAGTTGCCCTTGGACCTTGGTTGAATGTCAGAGGTATGCATGGGCTGGGCAGAGTTCTCTGGCTGCAGAAAAATTTTACTTTCTTCAAATGGCTCTGGAGAAAGAATTTTAATAACCATCCTTCAACATTTTCCCTTTTGCTTTCTACCTGAAGGAAGGGTTAACTGTCTGAAGATTTTAATAAAGGTGAAGAAATAAAGGATAGTTTTTCTTCCTTAATATGGAACTGAACATTTACTACGATAGGTATACAACTCATAATTTCTTCAGCAGCCATGTGACCTAGGTGTGCTCAATTCTCTGTGAGTAGATTGTTTCAGAGAAAGAAAATAATTTGCCCAGATTCAAAAAGCTCCTAAGTGGTACCAGAACCCATACTCACCTTCTGTTTTAATATGATTCTGCCTTTTTTTTAAACAATTTATTATACCAGGAATATTTTTAAACTATCCGAATACTTGAGAATTCAAAAGTCTATTTGTGCATTTCAATTTTTTTTTGTTTGGTATGTAACTTTTGCTTCCCCTTTCAAAACATGCTGCTTTTCAAATTAGCAGAAGCATTATTGGAAGAATACGCCGTGACAGGGTGTTTATTATTGCTGCTTCTTGGGTGGTTATGGCATGCAGCCTTATTATTAACACTGCAGTTAAGGCATGGCACAGGACCAGCATGACACATCTCAACATGTTTTATGGTTTGAAGGGGGAATTACCAAGCTTTTGCAAAACTTTAAAAACTTGCATAAGACTTTTGTAGTGGTTAAAAAAACATATATGATTGTTTTAAAACATGAAAGTGCTACCTAACATGCAGTTTTCACAAAATTGAATCATTCAAAATTCTTAGAAACCTGAAACAAGCAGCTTAAGGATTTCTCTACTGCAATGACATTAGCAACTAGAAACAGGAAACTTCAACCAACCATCTCTCCCAGGAGTTCTAGGAATGTTACTCTATCTACATGCTGACACAAAAAATGAAGATGGTATAAAACTGAGGTTAAAAGTAAGGTTTGGTAACTAGTGAACCCTAAAAGGGAAAAAGAAAGAGGAGATGAAAAGACGAGCATTGAAACAAGAATCCTCTTGGATGTTGAGCACTATGTATAATTTTGATGGAGGAACCAGAAAATAAAGGTTGATTTTCAGAGTGGACTGGTATGAGTTGTATATGCTATATGTATACGTTAAAGTTCTTAGAAGATAAAACAAATATAGTTCTATTTAAAACTTACCTCATACCCAGCACTGCAAAAAAAAAAAAAAAATGCTATGATGATAATATACTAACAGTTAGCAAGATTTTATGATCGATCAGGAGCAAATGTAGTTTGAAGCTCCTATATCTATATGTAAAGACAAACTATTTTTCTAAAATCTGCCTTTTCAAATATTATATAAAAGGTAGATTAAAAAATATGACCTCGAAGAGGATGCATTCAAAAACAATACAAGAGATGATAATCTCCCTGGCCCTGAAGGAAAGGAGCATATGGATACTTCAGAGCACATATTAGTTCTGAGCACCAAGACACTGCTCATACATGCCTGAGATTTATTTTTGGCACCACAAAGTCAAAAGTGTTTTCAAAATATTATTTTCTTAATTTTTTTTTCTGTAGGCAAAAATATCAAAGAAGAGAAGCATAAAATTATCTCAGAAAAAAAGAAAACCACAGGAAGAAAGCTGTCACGTTCTGGGTTTCGACTTCACAAAAGAATTTTTACTGGAGATTAGAGCCTTTCGAATCTCTTGTCATTCAGGATATGAAATTCTAATCCAGTGGCATGGCCAGTTGAGACTCAGACTTAATCAAATATGCTGACTAGCTGAAACAGGAGGTGGTTCACTTCCTTACTTCTGGTTTCCATCTCAAACTGGCTTCTTACTTGCAAATTATGACAGTCACTTACTGTGCAAGCTATGAAAACTTCAAGTGGGGGAGGAGAACCAGTGGGCCCCCCTAATTGAATTTACTATATGAAGCGTTAGATCACCCTGACTCACCTCAGTCTCCCCTGTCTTTAGGGAATGGTTGAATTTTACATAAAGCCTATTTATAAACCATGGCAAGTGATACTTGCATTCATCTTATACTGTGACATCATTTCCTCATCAATAATTTAAGCATAAGAAATGGATGAAAGGGACTCTGAACGGACTTCTCACACATAGAAAAACAGAAACCAACTCTACTCTCTAAGATATTAATTCAGTCCTCTTACCTTGCTCTTTGATCTGACGAATTTGCTTCACAGTTTCTTTTAAGATTGCACATTTGTCAGGTTTGAAGTTAAAGTTGTCTATATCATTAAAATTTGCAAAAATCAGCTCTGCAAGTTCTTCTATGTATTTATTTTCCTGTTCACGATTACGTTTCTCAGTGTTCCTTTTGGGGCTAAAAAGAAGGAACATATTTTAGTTTAAGTATATGAAAAGATAAACACAATAAGCTAGTTTTAATAAAACATAGCAAACAAGAGTTACCTATATAAACACAGAAGCACTTTAGGAGGGGAAAAACCAATTTGTCCTAAAATCTTGCATATTTTAAAAAATTCAAACTTATACCAGTTTGTAATTATACATTTATTACTTATGTGATTATTTGTTCAATGTGTTCAACCTCTCCCACTGTACTATCAGCTTCAACATGACAAGATTCTCCATGATTTTGTTTACTATAGTGCTTAACACAGTGTTTCATACCAGTTGGACTCCAATTTATTGGCAAATAAATAAAGGAATGTTTTTAAAAAAAGTAAAAGAGGTTAGATTTATAAATATTTGAAATTAAGATTAGTAAAAGAAGAAAGGCAAGTTAAACTAGTTAAAATTACAAATACATTTCAATGATTGTTGGTAAAACATAAATAATGAAAACAAATCTTCATGGTTTCGAACTTTTTTAGGACGATAGCAATCAAATCCAGTAGCCCTTTAAAGATAATTCCAAAAGTCACAATACAGCTCGAAACAAAAGCGAAACTGACCTAGGATATTTGTTAACTGTCCAAGCTGAATGACATGCAAAATACAAACAACCCGTCTGAGTTCAGCTAAAGTTTTAAAAAGTTAATGGAAGGGACAAAATCTTCTATTTGAATCTGACAAAACTGCCAACTCAAATGTTTCTTTTGATAATAACAATGTATAATTATTTTCTTAAGTGTCATGGGAGGTGCAATAAATGCATTCAAAACAATACAATAAGGAAGAGAAGCCAGGTGTTTAATATAGAGCAGATTTCTGTATTTTTACATATTACACTAACTTTAAATATTTGTAAAATATGTCCATGTATTTGTCTCCAACAGTTTTATTTTTATTAAACAATACACCTAAGATTTAACATAATTTCTTCATTTTGTAGCAGCTATATGATTTATCTGGATCACCAAGTTAAGTTACCTGAAAAGATGATTTTTCCCCCCAAGTCTCAATTTTACACCATTTTATTAAGTGCAGTGAAAGATGGGGTGGCTGAAGGCTTAGAAGAGCCTAGTTCCCATTTTGGCCCCTCTGCCTTCCTCTGGTACCCCCCAATTCACCCATACTACCCCCACATTGCACAGGATAATAAATAAATGACGAATAGGTGAGAAAGGGAAACTGGATTACAAAGAGCCCTGAGAGCGCACCGGGCAGAGGCTCAGAGACAAGTATACCCAACCATAGCACCAGCTCAGCATGGCATCGGGTAGGCAACAGCCTGTTACCAGGAACAATTTCCATTTATCAAACTGCCTCCCTAGGTAGGATTCCTGCGTATTAAATGCAGTCTGACAGCCAGAAAGTTGTGGTTTACCAGGAAGCACTAGAAAATCTACAGGCAGCACCCAGCAGCCTGGGCTGGGATGTGGAGATAGGCTTGTTTTGTTTGGCAACCAGAGTGGGAGAGAAGGGAATATAAAACACTCCTCTTGTTTCCTTCTTGATGACTTTTCCTAGCCCTCTTCCCTACTGTCTATCTGATTCTCTCATTTTCTCTCTCTCTCTCTCTCTCTCTCTCTCTCTCTATATATATATATATATATATATATATTAAACTGGCTCTTAGATAAAAAAAAAAAGAAAGAAAGAAAACGGCCTTTTCTAAGAGAGAATTTTTTTTTATATATTAATTTTTAGTTTTCGGCGGACACAACATCTTTGTTTGTATGTGGTGCTGAGGATTGAACCTGGGCTGCACGCAAGCCAGGTGAGCACGCTACCATTTGAGCCACATCCCCAGCCCTGAAAAGGCTGTTTTCATTTAACTTTTAATATTTTATTGGACTAAAAAGTCTCTCTTCTACCTTTCTTCCCTCTTTTTCAAGTTCTCATCCACCAAAATGGATAATAACTATATTGCCTGATTATCCTACAACAAGATAAATAATAGATGCTTTTTATTCCTTTTTTGTACATATGGTGGTATGCTCCATCAACACTTTCTAAACCTGTTATTTCTATGTCACAATATTCTTAAGAGATCGTTTTTGTATTAACCCATAGAATGTTCTCATTCTTCATCATCACTGTATTGTGTTCCAGGTTACAGATGTACCACAGCTGTTTAAAGTTCTCTCCATTCAGTTTTTGCCTAATCTTTTATAATTATAAACAATGTTGTTATGAGTAACCACAAATGTACACTTGGATATGTGAAAGCACATCCTAGAACAATTCCTAGAAGTGGAACTGCTAGTTCAAAGAGGATATGCATTTATAATTTCAATACTGCCAAATTACCCTACATGGAGGTTCTAACAATATATACTTCCAACCAAAATATATAAAATAAAACTTGCTTTAAGTTATTTAGTTGTTTTGTTTTTCACTGAAGGTCCACAATCTTTATTTTTAACTCAAAAGAAAATGGATTTCAGCAAACAAATAAGAACCCAGTATAACATGAAGAACAAACCTTTTTACTACAGGATCTACTGGTTACAATATTCTATGATCTAGCAGAAAAGAAAATATGAAAAACTCAAGATTATAGAATGAACTGGTTATTTAGAGTCAAATACACAGGGGACATCAGAAGTATATAGCTTTCCTTTTTCTTATAAAGAATAAAATCTTTAACTGATTAGCATATTCAAAATAAAAGCTAAAACATTTAAAAGTTTAACTGTTAAGGAAGAAAATTAAATACTATATTTGAATTTGGTCTAAAATTGATACTAAAATAACAAAGAAAAATGCAAAGCTGTAACATAAAATACCAATCCCTCACCATCCCACCCCCGCCCCAAACCCCCCCAGCAAGAATCTAACCTGGGTCCAAGCTGGTCAGGACATTCCTTGCGCTTTCTTGTCTCTGCCCTGGATGGGTCAGAGGTATTTTCTCCCATCCCACTCATCTTGAACACATATCAGCAACTAAAATTAAAAAGACAGATAAAGAGCTGATGATAAAGTACCTGATGATTTTGCCAACAGTTAAAGAACTCTGACTTTAATAAGAAATTTGACAACACTGATCAACACATTGTTTTGATATACGTGCATGTTTTTTCTAATGAAATGTCTGATATATTTTTTTTAACCTTGCTTAAAGCAAATGGAAGGATTAATATTTAAACATTTAAGAAACAAACCAGCCTACCTCCTTGGGTCCAAACTCTTCAAACAGGAGTTGGATTTCAACAGCACCATGAGCTACAACCTGCTAGCTCTGGGACCGGGCCACTGAGAGAGTTTCAGGGGCTCTCTTGCACCATGTGGAAATGACAGGTGTTGTAAGTAAGGGGCTCCTCCCAGTCTCTGTTTTGGGTTAGCCAATGTGAAGTCTATGCTGCAATAGCTCACCCATGACAGACAGCCCGAGGACGCAGCAGTGCTACAACACTTGATTAAAGGATTCCAAGTTTAGCCAGGTAGATCTGACACCCTTGTGGTGGCCCTGAGTTCCTACCCCTCAAATGGAGGCTCTTCCTGCCTCCCTAAGAAGCTGATGTGCAGGTTTCTCCTGCTGCCACAGCATCACTGCTCCTCTGTTGGTGTCCTCTCTCCAGGGCAGCTGGCCTCCCTCCCTGCACACTGCTGGGTGGCTTCCTCTCTCACATCCTGCTGCTGAAGACTTTCCTCTCCTCAGCTGGTTCTAGCTGCTATCACCTAAGGTCTTCAGGCACTCCAAAATCAGGGGAACTACTGCCTCTGAGGGAGCATGTGGAACTTTTTTCATAATAAGAGAATAATTGTGCTCACAATGGTCATTGCTAACAGAACCAAAATACTACTGGGAGCACATAAGAACGAGGGAGTGACATGAAGATGAAGAACCAAAAAAGCCAGAGAGACTAATAAAGTATGAATACAGCAAAAAAGACCTCAAGGTGCTTAATAATTGTTTGGAAAGGAAAAAAAAAAAAAAAACAAATGCAGCCCCAAAATACTAGTCACCATTTAAAAAAATCTTTCCTAGAAATCCCATTTGATACTATTTCTCCTTCCTCTGTCCCCAGGCTTCTAAATAATCTTTGTTCTCCTTTAGTTTTTATAGTAGCTTTTCTTCCTTTCTAGGTCAGAAAAAGTTGGAGAGAAAGCCAAGTCAGTGGAAAACCAAGAACTTAAGGGAGACACCAGAGAGCAATGGGCCCATCAAGAGCAAGGACAAAGAGCAAGGCAGGCTAAGGAAAGCAATATCTGACATCCATCATGGTATCACCACCACGTACCAATTAAATTGCTCAACTGCTTCCTTCTGTGGAGTCTGAGTTGTCCAGTCTCACTGCAACTGTTTCTTCTGGCCACTGTTCTGATCCAAGAGGACAGTAGAGCCAATAGTTTTATTTAAAAGAGTCATGTGTAAGTAGAATGAAGAAATAGCCTATCAGCTGAGGAAGGTTGAGCCAATCACACAATTCAGGAGGTCACATGGAGGATACAATTTGAAAGCTAAGCCTGAGCTTCCTGCTGGAGGGAGTAATGTAACCAAGTCCCAAGGTCCTGTTTTGTGCTCACATTTTTGGCCTGATAATAAGTATAATCTGTATTTAGTTACTATTAATTTAATATTTACTATGTAACCCAGCAAATTACAGATTCAAAGACAGATTATGAGAGGTAGTATTGCAGAGAGGCCAAGGGCCAGTATCCATGTCTGAGCTTCACCACTTGGTCAGCTGTATGACCTTGACAAGTTACTTCACCCTTCATGCTGAATGACCTCGTCTGTGAAATGGAGATAGTCATTAGCATCTACAGCACAGGCTACCAGGTGGATTAGTAAATGTCAAAACTGGGAGTTATATACAGGCTTATAGAACTCCTACTCTTAACTAATGTTACAGCAAAGAGCCCCCTTATGGAATCAGCTGTTCTTCATCTATCACAGAGGCACAGGCCAGGTCAGGGAAGAAACAAATTCTGCCTTGTATAGACTTCTGCGCTTGACTCTGTTCCTTTTATCTAAACATCATTCATTCATTCATTCATTCATTCATTCAACAAAGACTACTTTGCCACTGTAAATGAGATTCAGTGCCATAAGAAACATAAACAGTAATGTGGCTCTCAAGAAGACAGGCAGACAGGAGAGATAAATTTGTATATAGGAAACACTTCAATAAGGACAAATATATATTATACATTTGACTTGCACTCCTCTTTTCTGTGAGATCTGAGAAAAGAGAGCTGAACTGGCTGTTAAAGAGGAAGTAAGGAGCCTAGCCTGAGGACAGCATATGATTCTAAATAGGTGGGTTGGAGCCAGGCCACTGCAGGAGGTTTGCAGGTACAGAAAAGAAAAAACCTGAATGAATATCAGAGCCCTTCTCAGATGATACCCTATAAACATTCCATTTTTCAGTACTACTTTCTGAAACACAGTTCCCATAGTTTCACTCATGAGCATATGGGAAAAAACATTACATACCCAACCTAAGTAAGCTTTCAACAAATAACCTAGGTAAATTTCACCCTGGAAGCAGCTTTCTATATGACATTAAAATATAATCTTTAATATTTAGCATAATGTCCCCTATAGTAGGTATAAGTAAAAATTTTTACTGATGAAAATAGCTATTTTTCCCCCCAGAGTATCATCAGGTATATTAGAAAAGTACAGTACTACCAGAAAGATCAGAAAGCTTTTCAATGGACAATTAAAATAAGTGACTATTTTACTTAGTTATTTGTACTCAGTTTAGGGGTTGAACATTAGTATCAGCATCACGTACTTAAAATTTCCCCACAATATGTTAATAATGGTGACAATGCATGAGGAGACAGCACTGACGCATTCAGCACAGGGTCTAGAGATGAGGAGAGCAGCAGAAGTGAGGGTTCTCCAGTCTTAGTAGAGCCATTTCAGCACACCATCTTTGTTTGGCTTGTTCCTTCCCAAAGTTAGTTTATAACCACTCACTCTGGAGTTTTAAAACATCACTAATTTACTCTTGAAGTAAGTTACTTAAGCCAAGTTTCTCTTTTCATTATGTGATGGTACCTTAAACACATTTCCTCAAAATCTTCAAGGCTTCTGCTTTATGAACATGATGGCTTTTTAATTTTTCTGTGTCTGCCCCATATGTCCTCTTTTCTGCACATTTTCTCTGGGCTGTATGTCCTCAGTAGATATTTCCAAACAACCCTAATACCACTAAAGGGAAAAAAGGTGGGTGGGAGAGGGCAAGGCCCAGAGGACTTGGCCAAGTCAAGGAAAGGAGAGTCCCCTGCAGGGCCCCATCAGGTTGAGGACTTGCCAACATCACAGGGGTGGCCCATCTGAATCCCTGCCAGTCACCTAGGGAAAACAAAAAGAAGACAGAGCTGAGAGAAGAGGAGGGAAAAAAAAGAAAAAAGAAAAAAAAGAAGAGGAAAGAAAGAAGGGGGTAGGGGAAGGAGGAAGGGAGAGAATTTAAGGTAGGGGCATGGAAGGGAGGAAGGTGGTAAGAGGGTGACAGGCAGCCAGTGGTAGCTGCTGTCCTGGAGCAGACACGTGGATTTATGACTTGCTCTTCAGTGAGTGAACCAAATAAATAACAGTGAGCCTCATTAATGAGGTGCTCTAGGAGAAGAACTGTGGCGCTCTCATTCAGATGACTATCTGATATTTTTAACACCCTGTGTGAGGCTTGGCTGGCAGTGAGTGTCAGCATTTCACTTGTAGTATGTGGCGAGGGCTGGTGAGTTCATTTTTTTCCCCACAACTCAAAATACTGGGTAAGGCAGCAGCAACACAGGTAGACAGACAGAGGTCAGATAGAAAAGTGATTTCCTTTTAGACTTACTCACAGAAAAATATCAAAAGTTAAATAATCTAAATGGAGAGAAGAGTATTAATGCATGTTTTGTAAATCAAAGTTAAAAATTAATTGTCAATGAAAAAGTAGAAGATGGAAAATACTGCAGTGCAGCACTTAAGGTTTAAAATTTTATTTTGTAGCCAGCCCTAAATGAACAGTTCCTTAAGGGTTCTGTATGTTTTCAATATTCACATGAAATTAAAATTCTTGAACATGTCACTCTCAGTTCTCAAACTGTTCAATGTAAATCAAAAACTGAAAATGATACCAGTTAACTCTTGGGCTGATGATAATTACAGTCATTGAAAGCAAACCAGTTTCTACCAGATGTTGGGAGTTGTGAAGGACAAAACTGGAAAAGAAGTTTCTCTTTGTCCATGCTTGTTATCTATAACCACACAATATCCCTACTGAAACTTTACTGTGACAGTACATCCTCCTTCTTATCCTTTGATATCAACTTGTAGGAACTAGATTATAGAGGAAAGTGCTACAGCCACAAGATTCACCAAGTTTTATTTTTTAAAAAGTAACAATATTCTGGAAGGGGTGAACAACGCCACTCAAATTCTTAGCTAAGGACAGAGAGCAAAAAAAAAAAAAAGTCAAATCCTAATGTGGTTTGAAAGTACATTCTTCTTTCATAGAACTCATCCATATAACTTATAAGGTAACACACAGCTACTGCTTGCTAAACAGCTTCACAACCATTAAAGCTAGTTAATCATCCAGAATTCATGTAAACGATAATGTGTATTTTATCTTTTATCAGTGTAGGCCATCTTCCAAACAACATCTGTAAAACTGTCAGATTTATTATATGCTGCACAAATTCACTTAAAGGATCATACAGTTGCTGAAATCCACACATAATAAAGTGATTGAACATCAGATCTGTTGCTAGTTCTAAGAAGTATCTGCAAAAAGTCAGGTACTCTCTCAGAGTCCTTACTTTGAGATGATAGATACAATGAAATTTATATGGAAACAAAACACAAAGAGCTGCTTAAACAACTTCTCTTATTAACACCTCCATGAGGAGTACCTACCTGTTAAATCATCTAGTCTAGCTCTTGAGGAGAGCAGAAAGCCCCTACAGCTTCCAAGGCCTTCCAGGTTGTGGGTGTGTGC